CTCTCTCTCTCGCTCCCTCTCTCTCTCTCTCTCTCTCTCTCTCTACTCTCTCTCTCTCTCTCTCTCTCTCTCTCTCTCTCTTCTCTCTCTCTCTCTCTCTCTCTCTCTCTCTCTCTCTCTCTAACGGGAGCATCTCTACACACGACAAGTAACCACTGACGGTTTTACTACACGACCACATTATTCACACCCTATAGGCCTACCAGTGGTTCTTAACCTTTTTAGAGGCGCCGAACCCTAACAAAACCCACTGCTCACTCGCCGAACCCCTCAAATTTGACAAAAACAAATTAAATTTAATCAATTTTAATTCATCCAAAAATAAAACTCATTGCATCAACATTCAAGACTATATTTGGAAAGCGTGCAAAGAATGAACAAATTCTAGCAAAATTTTAATTCGTTTCGGAGGACCTCCGCCGAACCCCCGAGACTGGTTCACCGAACCCCTGGGGTACGGTCAAACCCAGGTTAAGAACCACTGCCCTGTACATCCTTCTATGGCAATTAAATTCGACAGTATCGTGTCATGTCTGTCATCACAACTCTTTTTCCAGCGTCTTAAGGCGATGCGGCCACGAGAAATCGTAGCCTCGACGCAAATCTTGCACGTCCTGTAGTATCCCACGAACAGAACTCGTGTCGCAGCGTGCAGCGTCGCCATGCATGACAAAGCAGCGGTTGTTCAAGTTTCTCTTTCCTGTTAGATTAGGGTGGGGGGGGCAGTCGCAGTCTCCCGCTGCATGCAGCGTTGCTGCCTGAGGCAAGGTGGCGAGTGCTAGCGGACGCACGTGCGACTGCACCGTGCGCCGGGAAACAAAGACAGTACCGACCCGGCCAGGAACGCTCGACTGTGTGATGACGATGATGACGACTCGATGATGATGACGACGACGATGATGACGATGCGTCATCATCGTCATCATCATCGTCGTCATCCACGATGATGATGATGATGACGACGACGATGATGATGATGACGACGACAATGATGACGATAATGATGACGCCGACGACGACGATCCTGATGATGATGACGACGACGACGATCATGATGATGATGACGACGAGGACTCTCTCTCTCTCTCTCTCCCTCTCTCTCTCTCTCTCTCTCTCTCTCTCTCTCTCTCTCTCTCTCTCTTTATTTTGGTCACTTTCTCACTGCCTTCTATCACGCACGGCATCTCTGTGTACCCGCTGTATATTTGCCAGCATGTATGAACTCTGATGTTGAATGCCCCTTCAAATAAAATACAAGTTGAATGTTAAAACGAATACATCGCATGTATTAACAATGAATAGCATATTTACACTGAGGCTAATCCACCCTCTACAACGCCCTCTAGTTCAACATCAGCGAAGTGCGTCTTGTACCCGAGCAGCGGCGTAAAGTGGCAGTCGTTGCCGGAGAACTGCGCGAGGAACGTCTCGTACCCGTCGCCGCGCGGCAACGCGAACACGAACGCCGGGCACTCGCGCGCGAGCGCCGCCATGCGCTCGTACGCCGCCGCCGGCACCGCCGCGCACAGGCGCCCCCTGCTGGTGTGGTGCTCCGTCCAGACGAGAGAGATCTCGTCGGCGGAGAGGCCGCGAAGAAGGTCGACCTTCATGATGTCGTAGAGCGTCTTCGGTTTGGCCATAGGGGGCGCTAGGTGAGCAGGCGCGGGCGGCGGCGGGGCGGACGAGGTGAGTCGCTCGTCGTACGAATCGCCTGCGAAATGTAAATGACGTGAGAATGCATCATTCAAGCAGGGCACCATGAAATTAGCCAAAATGTGAACAGGCCCACCCCAAATTTTAAACAGGTCCTTAGACAAATTGAACAGGCCCTTACAAGTTTGAACAGGCCCTTAAGTATTAGCTTTGAGTTTAGCATGCTCATAGTACCTATTTCAGTATTTCATTGCTATCAGTGGAGTTCTAATTGTTTGACAGGGATTGCTGGAACATGATTTACTTCTTAGTAGTCACTAAGTAAAAACTAGTCAGGAAATTGGTAAATATTGTTGATATAAAGGCAAGATAGGCAAAATTTTGAATAGGCCAAGTGGACTGATTATATGGGGGGTTGAACCGGCGGTGTAGGGGGTTGAACCGGCGGTGTAGGGGGTTGAACCGGCGGCCGCCAGCAAAATAGCGCTAATTTTGCACACTGATCAAGTAGCTCTGCTGCAGGGACTGGATTACAGATCACGCCCAATGTTTGAAAGCAATTGGTGCAAAAAGTGGTCATAACCCGACCACACTCGATCATGATAAATCACAAAATCCCACTTGATCACGCTTGATCATGCTCATTCACAAAATCCTGACACGTATTTACCTAAATGTCTAAAGTTTAAGAATGATTACCCAGGCCACCAGCCAGCACACAGGATCCCTGCTCTTCTCTACTATATGTACATGTACAGATACGCTACAGTCGTACGTAGAATCAGCAATGCTACGAGCTCTAGTACTATAGCGCTTCAGGTGGCAACAAGGGCTATAGTCCCAGAGCTACATTGCTACGAGCTCTACCAGGGCCGTAGCTACCATAAGGCAATAGGAGGCAAATGCCTCCTACAAAATTTCTTCTGGGGCCCTTAAGCGGGCCCCATACCCCACGCCTTATTGGCTCGCTTCGCTCCTTGTTCTTTAACTCACAACATTTGCCTCCTACAAAATTTACCTCTGGCTATGGCCCTGTCTACTACTATACCCCTTCAGGTGGCAACCAGGGCTATAGTCCCAGAGCTACATTGCTATGAGCTCACACCAGGGAAAAAATTACTTTTTTTTCACGGGAGCTCTTTTTCTAAAAGCCTATGGAGAAAATACCTCTCGTCAAAAATTTTACGGGAGCTATTTTGAGCCTCACGGGAGCGATTTCAGAGGTTTGAAGAGTGAATCGCTCATCGCTAGTGTTGTCAATCGGTTGTAATTTCGTAATCGATCATCGGTTGGACCCAAGTAACCGATGATCGGTTACAATCGGTTAAGGCCAAGACACACTGCAGCGACAACGACCGACCGTAACGACAAACGACTTTTCAGAAAATTAGAAACTATTGTTTCCTATGAGCCATTGCACACTGACGCGACGACGACCGGCGACAACCTCGACGACAAAAAATATTTAGAAACGTTTCTAT